GGGGGGGGGGGGGGGGGGGGGGCAAGTGCCCCTACCTGCGGGCGCCCATGGCTATCACTATCTCATTAGTACAACTTAACATGTTTTATAGCAGGTTAATTAACATATTAGGACCTGGTTATTTTTTTAAAAAAAATATCCATTTGTACCATCTGTGCAACTCTGCAGCAGCATTCAAGAAAGACACATTGAACTCCATCACAACACTCTGACAGTACTTACCTTACAGCACAACACACTGACAATGCTCACAGCATACATAAATGCCTCTCTACCATACACACTGACAGTCCCCACTTTACAGCACAAAATATAAACAGTACCATCTTACAGCACAGCAATAATTGCATCTATCACAACATACTGACAGTACCCGCATTACCAAACAAAATACTGACAGTACCCACCTTACAGCACAACATACTAACAATACCCATCTTACAGCACAGCACTTACTGCACTCAATCACAACACACTGAAAGTATCAGTAGTATCCACCTTACAACACAACACACTGACAGTACACACCTTAAATCACAACACACTGACAGTACCATCACAACAAATTGACAGTGCCGGTACCCACCTTAAAGCACAATAAACATTGCAATAGCCTCTTACTGTTCTCTGGGATACATTTCACCTAAGTGTTAAATAATATTAATATATGTTACTCATTGTGAAAGTATGTACTGTTAACTGAGGAAAGCTTCATGATGTTGAGTTGCACCTCTTTTCACTCACCTTGTACTACATATTTAATTTTTAATAATTAATATTATCAATAAAAAGAAATTGTAGCCCTCTGTCCAAACATAAACAAGATTGGCGGATGAAAAGAATCTGACCTGTAGTTTGGACTACTCCACACTGAACAACAGTGAGCAAAATTAATGTTAAGTGGATGGGTTGCATCCCTCACTTTAATAGGCCATACTTATAATCCTATAAATGAATGTATATACCATAAGATAAATTGATTTTCTTTAAGTTTCAACATTTTACAAAAGATATTTATATATTTGCCTTTAATGCTTATTAAGGGGTAAGTAGTGGGTCTAATAGAAAATCTAATAAAGCAAACACTGGCCCCTAGTTACAGTGGTCAATATTGATTGGCAAATAACTTTTGCCTTATTTATGGATTTCAGTTTAAATACTGACAAAAGCCAAGTAAAATTATTGTCTCCCATTTCCACATCTGGTCTTTTGATTAAAGATTGACAATATGCCATTTCTCATTTAGCATACAGCTGGTTTATTATTGTAGTACGTCAGCCACACTAGTGCACAAAACTATTGCCAGCACAGTAGATCAGGACTCATATTAGCTACACTAGTGTAACAGACACATCAGCCATCCTAGTACACAGCAGGAATGGCGTCAGCTATGCCAGAGTAGTGAAGTTTAATTCTTAGTAATAAGTACCTACAGCGCAGACAGAAACATTTTTATTTAAATAACGAAATAGCATGACACATTTGACAGAAAACGATTTTCTAAATAAATGAACATTTATTAGACCAAGCTAGGGATAAATATTTATGTACATCACAAGCCAATAGCTAAATTCATCGAGAAAGTTAAGGATTATGATATAAGTAGCTACGAAGATCACTGTAACAGGGCTTAGTACTTAGTTTGGCTCCCGGAAAAAAATTATCAAAAAAGTTAAACAAATTATAAAAATTAATTTTGAACTTTTTGTTTTAAAGCAACTGAGGGTGACAAGAGGTTAATAGTTTTAAAATGCATATGCTACTTAAGACAATTTTGGCTACACAAGCACTTTAAGTAGTGAGGGTTTCAGTCGCTCACACTTACATCCCTAAGTAAGAGGAGAGCATGTTGTACAATTATATATCCTTATAAGCAGGATGAAAAATACATGAAATGTTCTATGACAAAAACTGTGGTTACATAAAATGAAACATCACAACCAAAGAGGAAATACAACTTCCTAAACCCAGGGTTGGTGGTCAATATTAGTGGTGACTTGCATTAAAAACTCTAAATTTGAAAAAAATTGACTGACAGCTGTTTTTGTTTCTTTTTCCAACAATAATTTAATTGGATCAGTTCATAACTGCTTTCTCTTGACCATGTAGGTGGCTAACACAATATTAACCAGATTGATGCCACAGAAAGTCAGAAACCTCGAATCGAAAACTGATCAAGAGATGAAGTCTGTTGAACTTACGACAGGAAAGGGATACTCAAAAGTGAACTAGTGAAAAAAAATATATAAAATATTATTACATGCATCTTACTTCCAAGAAAGAAGTTCTAGAATAAAGAACACTGAACAAGAAAAGTCTTGAAGGTACTTGATTAAATAATTTACCAGTAAAGCGACTATTTCAAATAACGTGAACTGTGAAGTTGCTCCCTAAACAGTGCCATTAAATAGTTTTACACAGTGATACACTGATAACATTAAATTGCAGCAAAGCTTTTATTTTAAATCAGTCTAAAAGAGCAACATGTGCCGATGTGAATTCAATGACCATTTAAATATTAAAATGGAGTTTGTAAAAATAGATTGTAGAATAGAAAATTAAAAAAGGAACTTTTGCTTATTAAGGAAATTACAAAACGTTGTCACAACTGACCAGCCACTGACAATTTGTATAAATAAAAAAACAACACATTTTGCTTTTAAAAAAAAAACTAAGTCTATTTTAATTGTTTAGTATTGCAGCCACTGTTCTCAGTTGACAAAAAGCTGGTGAGTAAAGTCAACGTAATCGTACGAGTCTGGCACAGCCCGACCTGTTTTGTCCACATATGGCTTCATTCGAGTGATGCAATAGTCTGCCTGTTCCTTGGTGAGATTCTAGGGAATAAAAAGTGTCACGGTAAGTTTGTATGAAGTCTAATATTTCACCGACAGCATAGTGTGGTAAATTCCCTCATCATAATAAAGTAAAAAAGCAACAAATTATAAATGATAAGAACTTACTTAGAATTTGTGAGTTACTATTTCCTAATATATAATTATTGAGAAAATTGATACAAGTTTTGATATAAATGGGCATAGTAGAAATTTTAAGAGATGACATTCAATGGCTCAAACAATCCCCCCCACCCCTCTTCTTCCACAAAAAATCTTTTCCGAAAAAACAAACTTACTGCATACAACTCCTGAGCAGTGATATATGGCTTTTCCCCTGATGTAAGAGCTCGGAATGCCTGCTCCACCTCCGAGCTCGACTGCACGTTCTCTGTTTCCCGACTAATCATAAATGCCATATATTCTTGGAGTGACACAAATCCATCCCTGTAATAGACAGTCATATTGTAATATCACATGGACACAGACTGGCTAGCATACAAATTATATCATCAAGTTCCAAGAAATTATTATTTATAATATCATCTAATAAATATCTTGTACCTGTAAGTTAGAATATCAGCAGTGCTGCTTTAAAAACGCATTCATGATGTGTGCCTTGCACACCGACAAACTAAACCTTTACTATCTGCTATTTGTTTGCACATACCTGTTGGGATCAACTATATCTAGTATGGCCTGGAATTCTGGGTCTGTCTGACCCTCTTCTACCATTGGTAGGTCATAACCCAGAGCTCTTAGGCAGGACTTGAATTCTTGGTGGTCCAGTTTACCACTCTTGTCCTTATCAAAGTGCCTGGAAATAATAGATCTCCATTAACAGACATGAAAATTGGGCACTAGTCAAAATTGTGTTTATCAGTTGTAGGGGTTTATTTATTTCAAGTCTTGTTTGATTTACCTTAAGCTTTAAAAAAAGAGAGAACTTACTTGAACATCATTGAGAACTCTCTAAGAGCATCCTCAGACACACCACTTCTGTTCCTGGCCTCTATCTGCTGCTCCAGATTGTGCTGCATCCTCATACACAATTGGTCGAGTTGGTCCCATTGTTGGGCCAGGCCCACTGTACTGTGTTCTGTATACCTAAAAAAAATTAGGAGTAAATAGTCAAACACAAGTTGCCTCATACATGGTATTAGTGTCATATAAGTACGCTCACACTGCAAATTGGTTATAGAGATAAGATTCTTTTATTGATCCCAACAAATGGAAATGTTTTTTGATTGCATTGCACATTTTTAGCACATAAATAAAACAAGTTGATCACAAGACATCTACATTAAATTATTTCACAAGTCCTTCAGTGAATTCTTCTTCTTCTATATCTTAAGGGCCCACGATCAATTTATTGATAATTTTGGCTCCTATGCATGTAGATGGGATTTGCAATGTTTCTGTTCCTGGTGTTGATGAGGAAATATCACTGATTTCCAGTGCCACTTTGTGAGGGAATCATGCACTTGGAGTTTGAAGGCTTGAGGCAATAGACACAATAGACACAAATGTGTCTAGTGTTGTCGCCTCAACCGTTCCTTTTGAAAGATTGTTCCAGTCCCCGATTGTCTTGGGCAGGAATGAGCAGCTCCTACACTGGCTTCTTGCTGGTATGAGCCTGAATTGACTGTTATGGCCTCGTCGCTGTCTATGGGGGAGAGGGACGAGTTTCTGTTTAATACTGGAACAGTGGACCAGCCCATTATTTATCTTGTACATCATGGAGAGCCTGGATTCTCTTAGCCATAACAATTAGTTCTCATTAAGATTTATGACTTCAGGGAGAGCACGCTAGTAAATTTGCACAGATTGGGGAACAAAATAATTCTTATATCTTTCAGTCCTCGCCCTGAGAGAAAGAATTCATCCCCAACGGATTGGTCTTAAGTATCTGTGATGTAGAGGGTGGGATGTATCATACAAAATTTGTTTAATTTTACAACAACATCTTTCTACCTTATTCTGTTTATTCTGTGTTTAATATCAGACAATGAATTCCCCCACCAGCAGGTAATATTGAAATTAAGTAGGCTTCCAATTGTTGCTTAGATTTCTGTGACCACGAGATGCTTGCTGTACCAAAAACAGGCTAACGAGTTTCCTTTCCGTTTGACAATTTGTTGAGAGTTGCAGTATACTGTTGCCTGGCAATATACAGCAACATCCACTCATATTTTTATCTTTGCGCATGCATTGTCATTAGCTGACAGGGCTTGTTTACAAATTTAAATTATTAGTCATATTCGATAGTAGTAATAGCCCTACCAGTGGGCATATTTTGTCAATCAGAGATTAAAATTTGTGAAATAAATTTCAAGTTCAATTTTATAGGAGTGGGCAAAACCAGATTTTAAAAAAAAGCAAAAACGATTAGGGGAACAGTGTGTTGTTTTAAATAATGGAATTAATATAATTTAAAATTGATAAATATAAACAAAGTTCAGCACCAGAAGCCATAGTTTCTGCTCAGTGTGAAAACCTACATGGGATATGTCAGTGTATTCTCAACATGTCAGACTTGTCAACTAGGATTCACCACTGAGATTTGTGGCTGCAACTAATCTGCAGCGTTAACATTCCTTACTCTTTCACTGCTGATTTTTTTATCGAAAAGATGTACATTTTTTTTCAAAAAGCAAAAAAGAGTGAGAGGTTGGGTTTATTAAAAGTTTTTTAAATATTATTTTTTGTTATCTAAGACTAAACTTGGTATCAAATGAAAGATAGTTGAATGGACTATATGTTTGTAAACTTGTTTCTTCAGTTCAAAATAAAATGTGAAAACATTATATGCTAAACCATTTCCCCCCAAAAAACTATGATATTGGCATACCTCATCTTCACTTCTGTAACTCAAATCCTCTAAAACTACTCTTACCAGAATCATGCAATGAATCTAAATATAAATCATCTTCACTATCTAAAGTTAGTATAAAACAATTCCAAAGCTTTATGAGTTGTTAATGGTCAAAGAAACTTAGCCACCCTCTAGGGCCTTGGGTAGCCATAACAACAGTAGCAAAAATAGTGAAGAAAATCATTAAAATAATGCTTCAAATGACAACAAATTAACCTTGGTTTCGCTATAAACACTGAAGTACCACTCTTCTATGTAAAAGTCTTATTTAAAAAAACCTCTTAAAAAGTTTAACCGAGAAATAGCAAAGAAATAAACATGATATTGAAATAACGCACAGCGTGTTGGTCCGTGTTTTTTAGAACGGCGGATGAACGCACTGTGCATTGTACCGCAGCGAAAGAGTTAGGAAACATTCTTGTCATTTACCTTTTTATAAAATGATGCCTCACCTGTTGTCTAAAATTAATCTTTCTTCCATGGCAGCTCCCAGGTCTTCTATCTTCTTTAGATGACCTTTCTGAGATCTCACTTCAGCAGCTTTTCTCTGATGAACAGAAAACATACAAAATTGAATTGATTAATGGATGAAAAAGGAGCTCACATCTTCTTGATTCTCTCTTTTATTGCATTTCTAAAGTTTACATATATACAAAACACAGTATTAAATTTCTAAGATATGATCAGTAACTGTGGTTCTTAAAAAGTAACTGTTACCTTTGTGGCTTCCAGTTGCTCTTCCAGTGTACCAGAACCCTCCATCATGGCAGCTCTGTTACGATGGAAAACATACAAGATGGATTGATAAATTGTTCAACATTTTGTCACAAAGTATAACAAGAACGGTCTGAATTTGCAAGCACTTCAGCTTCAATGTAGATTGATTAAGATAGCTGTGCCGATACAAGAGAATTCTCTTATAAATTCAAATAATGAATGTAAAAAAATATGTTTATTTTCTCTTCAGTGGTATCTTAATATGTAATCAACCAATTCATGATGTTATGGCCATGCAGCACAGACACCAAGTTTTTTAACACTCCACTTTGATTAGACATTCAAAAGATACTTTCAGTTGTTAATGGGTGGCTAACTCCTATGCTAAAAAAAAAAAAAAAAAAAGACCATCAGTTTCGACCTTGACAACAGCTGCTTTTAACACTCCACTTTGATTAGACATTCAAAAGATACTTTCAGTTGTTAATGGGTGGCTAAATCCTATGCTAAAAAAAAAAAAAAAAAAGACCATCAGTTTCGACCTTGACAACAGCTGCTGACCCCTTGGTCATAGATGTTAAAGGGCGCTTTCCAGAGAAAATATGCAATCCATCCAGCTGATAATGCTTTTAATGACTCAACTACCAATCAAAATGACAAAACACCACAAAACATGCACATTAGGGATCCAAGTATAGAAGCCAAGTAAGTCTAAAAGACTTAAAATAAATGAAGCCAAGGTAACAACATTTGCTGAAATAAAACATCAGAGAGTGAAATTTTAAAAGGTCATTGCTTTATAATGTTGGAATTCCATCTGCATGCTCAATGAAAAGGTAAACATTCTAACTTTATTTTCTTCTAAAATTTGTAAGGCATGTAATCACAGAAAATTCAGCAACACTGATAAAAAGATCTAGACATTAGTGTTAGGAAAATGTTCAAACAAAACCTCACATCATCAGGGTGCCTGTCCCATACTTATCATTAGGAAATGCACACAACCAGGCTCAAACAATTTTTCATGAAAGACGTTGACTACTAAAGACATGGATAAATGGTTAAAAAATATTATTTGTTTCAACACAAGCACATACACACACAAACAAATATCGGATGCTCTGACCCATCAAGTAGCCACATCCTGTAAACAAATATTGACGCAATATTAACAATGAATTTATGCGTTTTTTTTAAATCGACTTATCAATAAAATTGAGTCTAAAGTAAAATTTAAATATGTACAGCCCCCACCCCAATCATGAAGTGCAATCTACTGACTTTTTATTTCGAGATATTTTTTCATTTTAAACAAAATACTCAATGTACAAAGGTTTAACACTTGAGGGAGATGAGACTCATCTTTATTTTGTGCTAATGATGGTAAAACTTAATGTGAACGCTCACCTGGTCTGTGTAAGCCAAGAATGGAAGGCATTGGCTGCCTGAGCAAACTGTTTCCTCAGCAGGTCATTCTCTTCCTGGCGATGCTCTTCTTTATCAAGGTCGCTGTCACGCTCCTAAAGAAAAGTTAATTTTTAAATATTTATATTGGCCAAAAAAACACCTTTGCTTACATGAGTAGTATATATGATATACATATATGAGGATTTCAAAGTTGATTACAAATTTTGAAACTGTTCCTTTTTATTAACAGCTCAAGTAAAAGTATTTTCATTATTTCTTCAAAAAGGAACCTTTACTCCTTGATCCTGGGATTCTAATAGTTATATAAAATGATACGATACCACTAATAATGCTGACCTGATGAATCCCTGCCTCAGTTTACACTTAAGTACTCACCCTGATAATCTTCTGCAGGTTATTCCATGTTTCCTCTAGAGCCTCCATCGTGAACCATGTGTAGGGATTGGGACCGACCTTAAAGCTCTTAATCTGGGCATCCAGGGACTCGAGGCCCTTGAAGTCAGCTTTAGCAGCACTCAGTGAAGCTTTAAACTGCTCATGTGCTTCACGCAGGGCCTAATGATAATAAAACCATTGATTTTAAATTGGTAGTTCGGTGTAACTGTCTGTTTCTGAACACTTTCCTGTTCTATGAACATAACCTTGCAATACATAAAAGATACTAGTCTCCAATCTATAAAATGACATAAATATTAAGAAATTTAAAAAATTTAAACTTTAATTAACACTGCATATCAACACGAAGCCGGGCGGTGACAGATTTTAACCTTTTTATCCAAACATCATGAAATGGTATCCATAAATCAACAGCAACAAAAAAAAAAGTATGAATAATCTGTGTTCCGCTGCCCACACATCCTAGCATGTTTACATCATTCATTAATGGATTGATTGTAACTTTTAGATGAAAACAGATCAGTAACATTGGACTGGATTTAATACCAAATGATATGTAATTAGACATAATTTCTTATTTAATTATGCTAGCTGTAGTAATACAGATTCTTAAATTAATGAAGAGAAATAAATATCACCCATCTTGATAAAGTTATTGAGTTCACTGTAGCGGGGGGGGGGGGGAAGGGGGGGGTGTGGTCAGGGGAACAGATGTTTTTTTTTAGACATAATTTCTTATTTAATTATGCTAGCTGTAGTAATACAGATTCTTAAATTAATGAAGAGAAATAAATATCACCCATCTTGATAAAGTTATTGAGTTCACTGTAGCGGGGGGGGGGGGGAATGGGTGGGTGTCGTCATGTGAACAGATGTTTTTTTTTATATTCTATACAGTGTTGATATAAAGTGTTAAAGCATCCCCATAGAGAGATGGGACAAGTAAAATATGCTCCAAAAGCAACTAGCATAAATGCCCATTTCTATAATGTTTTGGCTGGTTTCTGATAGAAATTGAAGGTTACCTTAATCTCCTCCACACTGTTACATCTGACTGGATCAGTCAAATCCTCCTCAGCATTTTCAAACCAGCTGTTAAAAGCTGAAGCCTTCTTAGCAAAGGTCAGGTAGAGATCTTCGATCTGTCTGTACTTGTCTTGAAGATGAAGCAGCTTCTGTTTCCTATCCTCGGCATCGGCCAGCAGCTTCTGCCAGCGAGACATGACCGCATTGTAGCGGGCCTCAATGGCCGGCGTCTGTTCATGTTTGCTGGCCACCAGCTGGTCTTTGAGGCTTGTTATGGTTTGGATGCCTTCCTTCTCAAAGGCTGCCAGGCCGGCAGAAAAGGTCTCCTGGTGAGCAGATGACATTTCATTTAAATCAATATTACATTGTCAAAATATATGTTATTTTTTAGAAAAGTGAAGCGGTCGCCATTAAAGCCAACCTTTACGATATGTCTTTGACACATCCTTAAACATGAATAATCACTAATAAGTCTAATTTTTACAAAAACCTACACAGTCACTCTTTCATTAGATCAGGGTTACCTGTTTAGTAAGGAAAGTCTGGATCATTAGATTAGGGTTACCTGTTTAGTAAGGAAAGTCTGGACTGACGACAAGTCTCTTCCATAATCTTCTGACCTCACTTGGGTTTCCTTATCAGCTAGGTAAGAAAGTAAAATTTAATGAGAAAGGATAACTTCATACAGCTTTAACTTTTAAATCATCAAGCTTATGCAATGTTAAATCTAATAGAGAAAATTAAAGGCTTCCAATCCAAGCAACATCTGTTTATTTGACATACTTCCACGTTTTTTAAGATAAGATTCTTTTATTGATCCAAACAAATGGAAATGTTTTTTGATTGCATTGTACATTTTCAGCACATAAATAAAAACAATTTGAACATGAGACATCCACTATAAATTATTTCACTAGTGAATTCTCGTAGCCATAGCAGGGACTTGTTAGTTCTCATTAAGATTTGTGATTTCAGGGGGAGCACGCTGAAAGCCAGACTTTTGGAGTCTTGGTTTTCATGGATTACATCCAAAAGTCTCTCACTAGCCTGCAGCTTGTTAGCAGACCTGTTTACCCCCAAACTCTTAAAATCTTACAATATCATCACAAAATCATTCAATACATTATCTTAATAGTAAAAAATAAACATAAGTATATATAGTGTATACACCTCAAAATCGTACATTGTGCGCCATAATCGTAAGAGTAAACAGGTCTGTGTTAGCATTAGGTGGAAGGTAAGTGAGGATGAAACAGATTTGGGTGAACTTCCTAGGTAGGTACAATGGCTTTTAAGTGATGCAAAGTAGTTCTATGGCGGGTGTACAAGCTACATGTTTCAATGTACTGTTGTTGATGCTACAGTAATTTTTGTTAACATATATTGCCAATACCCCTCCCTTGGATTTGCCGCTGTTGGTTGTTCTATCGGCATGGAAAAGGTTAAATTTGTCCAGTGACACTGCTGAATCTGGTACCTTTTCGTTAAGCCATGTTTCTGCCAGGCATATTAAAGAGCTTTCACAAAATTGATAGAAATGCTTAAAGCAGCAATCCAGTTCATCCATCTTGTTACAAAGTGATCTAACGTTTCCCAAAACAACAGGTGGAAGAGAGCCCCTGTTTTTACTTTTCACACGAATGCCTCACATTCTGCCCCGCTTTCTTCGTCTCAGTCGTGAATCGGTCGTCATTTGTTTCCATTTGTTAAAAAAACCAAAACATAACCATACACATGGTACATTAGTTGAGCCAAAAATAACTATGACTTACCAATCCAGCTGTCAACAACATCTGTCTTCCACATAAATTGCAGGAAGGCTGAATTGTCATTAAGTGCTGCTTTTCTCTTAGCTGCTCCATAATCCAAATCTCTAAGTTTCTCTTGCAGCCCAGCAATACGTTGGCTAATGCTGTCAGCATTGTGGTTGCCCTAAGGATTGTCAAATAAAGAAAATCAATCAATCATAATTACCACTAATTTGCATACATGTCCTAAACAATCCACCCATACGGTAAGAAAACAGTATAGGTTTTGTTATTACTGTGCCGTCTTCATGTAATATTATCAAGAAACATTTTTCCTTCTTCATTTTCAAGCTAAGTACCTTTTTAGTGTTTTTAAAAATAAATTAGCTGTTTCTTTTTAATGCTTCACCCTACTTTGTGATAATATTCCAAAATCAATTGTAAACAGTAAGTAATGAAGGAAATGTTGCTAGATTGCAGAGACATATAAAGCAAGAAAGACTATTAAAAAATATCTGATACCGTCAAGAACTTTTCTTACCTCATTAATCAGAGTTTGTCCTTCTCTCTTGATCTCTGAGCACCTTTCTTTGTGAACTTGGAAATCTGACTCGAATGCTTCATGCTTTTTAAGCAGGCCCTTTAGAAGAAAATAGATATCAATAACATGACTGCCATTAAAACAACAAAGCTAAAATACTGTATGCTTTTATATAGATCACTGTGTCGCTAATTTGATTCTAACTTTAAGCTTTAATTAAAAAATAATTTGTAAAACATTTAGTAATGTTAAAATTTTAAAATTCCTGAAGGTATTTGAATCTAACCTGTACAGCTGCCATGGTATCTCCCAGATCTCCAGTAGACAGCAGATGCTGTTTCTCTGTGATCCAAGACTCCTCCTCCTCTACATTAGCACTCAGCTGTTGGAAGGCATAGCTCTGCTCAAGCTTGTGACCTCTGTAAATGAAACCATTGATATGTCAACAACTTTATTCCCCATAGCTGCCACTTCATCTATTCTCATACTTATTATTCTGCATTATTACTGATGACTTAACATTAGCTAACCAGCATTAACTTGGATCATTTTCTTAAAGATAACTTTTTAGTACGTAGGAAATCTACAGCGGTCAAGCATATGTAAAACCATTACCTGTTTGCAGCCAGCTCCTTCAGATCAGTCCAGCTGGAGGCCAACTGTTCAAGTCTCTTCTTGATGTCTGTGGCACCGATGTCCGACTCATTCATCAGCTTTTCTCCTGTCTCTTGGACAGCCTGCAGAAGAAAAACATAAAAAGATGGCAACTTTAGGATTTTATTAGCACCAAGCTTAAGCAAAACTTAAGGAATACAAAAAAATCCAAAGTAATGTGTAGAAAAACTATGGCAATCTGTAAAATATTCATTTTTAACTTTCCCCCCATCAACTTGAACAAAAACTTGTAACATCTCACTTGTATAGCTGGTTCATGATTCTCAAGCTCAGCTTCTAGCCTCTTGTGTTTCTTTCTCAGATTCTGTACGCCTGTCAGATCACGGCCATAGTCCTCTGACCCAACCAGCAATTTCTTTTCTCTAAAAACAGCAATAGCTAATGTATACATTTTTGTCAAAATCATGCACCATGGAATTAAATATTTTTCACCAAAATATATTAATAACTTTAATATCTAAGGGGGGGGGGGGAGGAAAGAGACATCGAAGGCTTTACAAAATAAAACATCACTTACTTAATCCAAGCTTCTTCATCATCAATGTCACGGAGGAATTGGTGCATTGTGTTGGCCTCATTCAGGCGATTTCGGCGATGAACAGCAAACTCTTTAATCCTGATATAACCATACAGAAAAGTAAGTTTGAATGGACACTAAATAAAAAATAGAATTAAACCGCCTGTTTTAGGGTAATATAGGCTAATATTCAATTAAAAATCATAACAGATAAATATTTTGTGCTTGTTATTGGGTAAATCTTCAAGTTGACTTACTTCTCATATCGTTCATTGATGGTTTGTTTTCTGGAGACAATACTCTCAGAGTCCCACACTCCTGCCTCCACAAACTGTTCAGCTTGGTTATTAAGTTCCTTGATTCGGTCCTAAAACAAAACAATATTTACAATTGCAGTTGAGTATGGTCTTCTGAGGAGATTAAACAAACTTTATGAATATGTAAAAAAAATAATGTACAGTCCCAAACAAGGGCTTTGACTTGAATATGTTAGTATTGTTGACATACCTCATGGGCAGCAATGTCAGCCTCCATAAGCTGGTGTTTCTTGAGAAGGTTTTGGACTGAAGCCAGGTCTTTACCACAGTCTTCAGATGCCAACATTTGCTCCACCTGTTGTAAGTAGATGCAATATTAGAATCGGGCAAAACTAAAATTTAAAAATTTCATATTTTATAAACATTCTGAAACCAACATTAGCATCTGGTTTATCCTGACACCAAATATAATTCGTATCCAAAACTAGTCAAATAGCATGTGCGCCTTACCTCGCCCAACCAAAAGTCAATATCTTTGACTCCAGCATTATATGTCTGCTGTCTGCTAGCCTCTTTCAGCTTCTCACTCTTCTCAGCTGACTTGGCGACAAGGTCCTCCCACTGACTTAGCAAGCTCTCAAGACGATTCTGTACTGCATCCTCTGAACCAGCACATTGTCTCTGGTCAATCAGATCTGGGGAGATTAGTGTACATAGATGATTTGAGAGATTAAAACAAACACATAAGTGTACGGCTGAGTGAAAAGTATACAAACTTGATGTTTAAATAAGAAAAGGAATGTGTCCTACATACTTTGACCAGTGGTCAACAGGAACTGGAGTCTATCAGCATTAGCTGCCAGTTCAGCCTCGAAGGCTTGGTGTTTCTGATGTTTGCTCTGAATGTTGGTTGGGTCCTTGTAGGACTCATCCAGGGCAATCTGCAGTTTCTCTTGAAGCCAGTTCTCCATCTCATCGGCATCCCTTGAAAACTGCTGCAATGTTTGGGCTTCCCCTAGTTTAGATCTGTTATCTATGAGGGCATCCTTCAACTTGGACCACCTGATATTTTTTATGGACATAAAATATCAATAAATGACTATTTTACAATTGAAATGCACTGTTACAGTATTTTTTAATATTGACTGCAAATAATATAAATTACTTACAAATATTTTTACAGATGAAACTAACATGGAAACAAAGCTTCAAAATATTAATTTTACATAAGCATATTTTAAAAATATATCAATTAAAATATAAAAATAGGCTAGTCGCTTTAGGTCTGGATTTTATTGAGAAATAAATCAATTGTTATACCTATCCAGGACCTGGTCTCTTTTATCTGAAACAGCTCGACCATCATAATGGTCGGAGGAGATTAGTTGGTCAGCAAAGTTTTGAAGGGACTTGATTTTCTCTTCCTGTTGCAACAATAGATAAAGTACATTATTATCACAATTCATAGATTCTAATAAGCATAGCATGCTTAAATCTAATTACCAAATTGCTTTATCAAAATGCTCATTGTTCATAAATAAAAAATGTAGATACTTAGCAATTCTATTTTGCTGGGCTTAACCTATTCATCAGTTTCTCTCAGACACTTCATTATTCTGACGTAAGACACTACTAGCCTGAGAGTTAATAGCTCTGTCAAAGTCCTCATGTTTCTTGATTAGGGTCTCCACGTTGTCCCCATCCACTGAGTCTCCAGCAAGGAAAGCTTCACGGGATGCCATCCAAGATTCTGCCTGCTCACAGTCACGATAGAAGAGCTGCAGCTCTAGACACTGGTCCAGCTTCATGCGACGGGCAATCCAGGCTCTGCGGAAATAATACATATTCTTGACTTTTATGAAGGGTCAAAAAAAGGAGGGAGAGAAAATTATTTTTACTTTAAAATTGAATAGCTTTTTTTTTATGTCTAAATATTTTACAGGTAAAAATAGTATACTAACTGTTCCAGCTCTTCTCTGCTCTTTGCCAGTTCTTCCAACTTCTGCTGAACATCCTCACTGGCATAGTGCTGATTCTGTAACAGCTGTTGGCCCAGGAGTTCAAAAGCTTGGAATGTACCAGCTCTTGCATCCATCTCTGTGCGGTGTTCCTATGATTCAACAGACAATTAGTGTAAGTGAAACGATTAACAATCATGATTAAATGATTAAGAGAAGTAAGTAACCACAGAAAATGGCATTTTTATTTTGCGAATCAAGAAATCATTGTTTTTTTTAAAATTAATAATAAATGAAATAATTATATCCTTCTTAATGTCATATTCACAGTGAAATTAATCCCTATATTCCAATCAACTCAAAGCATGCTAAAATCGTTGTATAAGATAAAATAGAATGGTACAGTGTGTTTCAAATGATTTTAAATTCTTGAATCAATACTTGTTATATATCAATATTTGTTATAGATAGAATCCTGACTTGGTGTCTTTCAGATGAAGTAAAATTTAAGACTCCTTATAAAAAAAATGTTCCTTGTTTATATCTACCGGTACCAAATTAACACACACAAAAATTGTCCACATGCTATCCTGCCAGTCTTTTTCTGCATTAAGAAACCCTTCAATGATGATGCATGCCTAATGTTTACATCGCTCTGCCGACACCCTGACACACATGCTCTAGCTACAAACATGCTTTCAGTGGCACAACACAACTTAAAAATTGATGTTAATAAATCAAGTACCACTATTAACTCTTGGAACACTATTTCAGCTATAGCAATTTATCAAAAGAAACAGAAAAGATTGATCCTGATCCACGGCATGCTGTTTGTTGAAACAAAACAAAAACACTAGCTCAAACTTATTGGGAAGAAACATATTCTTTTTCTTCTTTAAGTGTTTCTATAATTAAAGCTCTTTCCAAACTTTGAAATGAACATAAAAATTTAGAACTATTTATCTTTTCCTGGCATGCCTAGGTTTTTGACCACACAAAAATTGCTGCCTCACTAACTCATGCAGCTGGCCAAGCCTTCATTATGACATGGGGTTGTTTGTATTAGAGCCTAAAATACTGATCTGGCAGGGCATTCCATCCAATGGATATTATTGGTTAATCACACAGGAGAAATCTGCAGGCATTTGTCTACCTCTTCTAAATATTCATCTTCTTCTTCCCCTGGCAGAGCTGTAATACCATAGTGGCTGACAATTTCTGAACTGAACATCTGGATATTTTGATAGGAACACATTAAAGACATGGATATATTCATAAGTGGGGCAGATTGAGAGCTGTTGATAGTATATGGATATGGATACACAGATGGGGGGGGGGGAGGGGGGGGAGGAGACACATTAGAACACAGCTGTACAACACTCAACACATCATCTCAGATGAAAATATTGCTGCACAATTTGTAATCTACACTGTTCCAAATGTTTTGTTTGTTAGATGAATGCCACCAGGAGCAAGTAGGTTTGGTGTTTGGCTTAACATTAACAACACTAAAAGCCAGAACATTCATAGGACAACAATGGACAACTATTGAGATGATTCAAGATTTCCTAAAACTGACCAGAATAATCCTGAAGCTGAATTACCTACATTTAACTGACATTTTTGTTCAAATATTAAATTTTGAGAATGCAAAGGGTTGATAAACCTACTTGATGCCTCTCAAGAAGAGCTTCCGCTCCCGTCACATCCTTGGCGAGTTCATCTGAAGATACGAGGGCTGTCATGCTGTTGATCCAGCTTGTCAGATCTCTAAAGGAGGAAATCAAGAATACTGTTATCTTGTAAAATGATATTTAAAATAAAATATATATTACTATAATGTATGCTTATAATGAAATGGATCACAAAGATAATTTTGTATTGTTAGCTCCAGCTCAAAATAACTTTCTATCAACATTATTACCGATATTCAAAAGCTGCATGAAGACGCAGGGTCAATAATATTGCATTAAGCAAGAGTCGTGTGTAAATTTTACTGACCTGTAATCACTCAGGAATCTCTGCAGGTCATAGGCATCCAACAGTTTGACCTTTCGGGCATCAGCCTAAATTTTTAATGATAAGTATGCAAATATGAAATTGCAATTACATCGTAAAAAAAAGTAATTAATACATTTACTAAAATGTGATTATCAACATGAATTTGAGATTTTCAAGGAGATAATGCACACCAGTAATCTCACATTTTAAAATAATAAAATTAGAAAGGTATTTGTCAATAACAAAGTCTAGTGGTCTTAATTATATTTTAGAAAGTTTGCGCAAGTTACAAAGTTAAGGTTGTACCTTGATGGTGAGTGCATTCCACATCTCATTGATCTCAGTCTGATGCTCATAAATGCTCTCAGCTTGGTCAGGGTGAGTCTGCATGAGTCTCTGGGCCATGTCATCCAGTTCACGCACCTGAAACAACATAGCAGTAGAACTAAATAGCATGGGTTGGTGGACATATAGTGGTAGAACTAACTACATGAGTTGGTGGACATATCCACCTGATTCCATATTTTTAGAATCTAAAATTCAAAAAGCTTTATTGTGTATTGGTGATTGCTTACTTCTGGTTATTATAGTATTACAGTAGTACACAACCCAATTGCAAATTAAAAATAAATAAATCGGCTAACATAAATATTTCTTGGTACCCAATGAAAGCATAACCATTTTTTAACTTTTTTATGCCAAGTTGAGCAATATGTCATGGAGAACATAATATAAATAAAAAGCTACACCATGTTTCTCAATTTTTATAATCGGAAATATGCATGGGTTGTATTAATATTAGTTATTAAATTCTTTAAATTTGTTAGCTTAAAATGTGGACTTAAGAAATTGTTAAAGTGAATCTCCTAATGGTGCAGTACCCATCCCTTGTGTTTGTGATCAAACTATAAACAGAAAGAGACATGACTGTATTGAATTTTCATTAAAAACAAAGAACTTCTGAAAGTAAGCACCTTCTCTCCAAGTGCAGCAAGATCTCTTTCCAAGCCTTCATGTTTTCGCTGCAAGGCTTGCACACTAGCAAGGTCATGGCCATAGTTGTCATTGTTAAGAGCCGTATCTTTCTCTTTGATCCAGTCTTTGGCTTCATCCACCTCTCTAAAAGTTCATAAAAAACACACAATTTCAATTTACTTCTTTAAAGTGACAGTAAAAATAAAATAAATAGACAATGAGTATTGTATTGGTTAGAATTCACAAGATAAAAGTTTGCACGTAGAAAATAATGTCCAAATAACTCTTTAAAAATACTCCATTCACAAATAAAAAAGAACAACTTATTTGGTGCTTATTAGAAATTTAAAACATTATCACTTAACATTTTAAAAAAATAATTTAACATTTGACATACCTATGATATCTCTGCACTTCAAAAGAGCTGCTGAGTGTTTGTGCTCTTTCAGCAGTCACTTGCTGTTGTAGTGTTACCCATCTTTGGTTAAGTTGCTTTTAAAAAAAAAAAAAAAGTTTTATAATTTAAAAAAACAAACTTACAGCTTCTGCAGCAAGGCTCATCTTTATGTCTTTTACTTCAAAAAAGAGTGAACTAAAATAATCTGAATAAAATTTTATGCTTTAGAAGGAGGATAAAATCACTCATCTCAAATTCATAAGACACACAGAAGACATGACCCTTAAATTTATGAACAATAATATGAACTTACAATGATTTGTTCTCTGATCTTCTCAGCTGCCTCCGTGTGTCCCATGGCTGTCAGTCTGTCAGCAATGTTGTTCAACTCCTGCAGACGTGCCTCGTTTGCTTTCAGATCCTATAAATAAAATAAAATAATTCAATTTAGCTTTTTTGCTTTCTTCGAACTTAATGTGATATTCTTAGTCGTCTTCATTACTACACTACCACCCAACTGTAATGTTGTAACAAAATTTCTTGATTCTCCTCAGAACCAAAAGTAGAAAATAGCACCTAAAATCTTAAAAAAATATTTCATAAATATACAAGAATCACTAAATACCCTTTGAGATGAACAGACATAATTGACACTTAAGATTAAAAGCTTGTTCGTTATCAGTGCACTATCTCACCTTCTGGAAGTCATCAAACTTCTTCTGCATCTCCTCCACTTGTTCGAGGTCATCTCCAACTTCCTCCCCTGCCATTGTGTTCTCCTTCTCTGTGATCCAGGCGGCCAGTTCGGCAGCTTCTCTTACCAACTGGTAGGCTCGGTTAGATTCCTGAACATTCTCTCTTCTCTGGTTGGCCAAGTCAAGCAAATTGGCGTATCTGAAATGAAAAGAGTTACAAAAATAATCAAACATGTAATTGAAAGAACCCAGTTACAAAAATTTTTTTATTTTTTATAAATATTTAAAGTGTAGTTTAGATAAAAGAAATAAAATAGCACATTTGTATATTGCCTTTGGACTCCAGCATTTTGCATCAGGCTCTGACTGCTATTCTCACAACAACTCATTTGATATCAGGCTCTGACTGCTATTCTCACAACAACTCATTTGATATCAGGCTCTGACTGCTATTCTCACAAAAACTCATTTGATATCAGGCTCTGACTGCTATTCTCACAAGAACTCATTTGATATCAGGCTCTGGCTGCTAGTCTCATAACAACTCATTTGATATCAGGCCCAGGCTGCTAGTCTCACCAGTTAATCAAAATGACAACTCATATTCTAATTTCACCCATTAAAAAAAAATAAAGAAATAAAAATGCAGTGAGAGAAATCTAAATGACTTGAAGCTGTCACTTTAGTATTGAACTCTCAGTTTTAAATATCCATGTTTGATTCATTTTAGATCTGTTCAAAGTTTCTCTGATATTATTTTTTTTAAAAAGCAAGGGCTCTTATTCCAAATATCACAAATTAAAATCAAACTTACTGTGTTTCAATCTGGTTTTGTCTGACGGAGATGGTGAACTCATCCATTAGATTGTTACGTGATGCAGACAGGCTCGGGTCTAACTTCTTCACATAGGCTGCTGGCACAAAGCCTTGGCGGTCATTGACTTCAACTTTCCACCAGTCCTATCATTTGGATAAAAGAATTTAAATTTATCTTCCAAACCAACTGAAAAAACTTGTTATAATATCAGATATACTGAAAATGAGTATTGTTTACTTAACCTGGTATTATAAGACATAACTTGGAAAATTTACTATCAAACTAACTGACACAAACAATAGTTAAAAGCAAATACCAATTATTAGTTTACCTTGTTGGCCGAGTTGAGCAGAGTGAGGACATCACCTTTCTTCATCGAGACTTCACGGGGTGATTTCTCAGTGTAATCATAGAGGGCCACAACTTTCTCTGTGCCAATGTCATCAATCACAGGGGCTTCTTGTTGCTGTGATAGACAGAGTGATAACAGTAACTAACAAATGTTTTTAAAGGAATTATTAAACATAATAAGCGAGACCAAAATTAGTGAAATAAATGAGGGTGTCATGTTATAAAGTTAATTATTTAAAAATTACTTTTCTATCCAGTCTTTGGAGCGTTAAAAAAAAACATGTAATTTAAATAGATGGTAATAAAATTAAACTTAAAAAACTTAACTAAAACAAACCTTGCAGGCTTGAGCTTGCTCTCTGAGTCCCTCAATAACACTGCGGTAGGCTTCAAGATCAGCCATAAAGGCTTCATGCTTCTTCAATAAGGCCTGGTGGTATGTAGCAGCAATAATTTCAAAAAAACATTTAAATATTCAATCATACATAAAAATTGGCCCCAGAATTTTTATTTTTATCCATCATCTTTACTGCTAAAATGATAAACAACAAACGCTTCAAAAAATGAATTGTAACTGAATTATATTAAAAAAAACAGACCTCTGCAGAATCTTCATCTTTGCCGTAGTCAGTATTTGCAGCGATGGGTTCTTTCTCTCTCATCCAAGACTCAGCCTCGTTAGCATCAGCAAAGTATTGCTGAGCTTGGAGAGAATCCTCTAAATCTTGTTTACGCTGCTGAGCTTTCTCCTGCAAATTTTGGAAATATATGAGATATTAAGACATCCAATGTGATATGCAGTTATTAACATGGTGCAAAGAATTGTTCAAAGTGAATGATCACCATGTTAAATTTATAAAGATTTAGTTTTATGCCCTCCATTTCATTGTTTTATTCTCTGAATCATCGCTAAATTGAATTTTGTTCCTACCTTCAAAGCTTGCCACTTTTCTTTCAAATCACCAATTTTATTTTTGATGGCATCAGCTGCAAAATGCCCCCCTTTGACCATGTCCAGTCCAGTCTGACAAACATTGTTGATGCGAGGCTCATGTCCAGCCACTTCAGCTTGCAGGGCCTGGTGTTTCTTCATCAGGTTCTGTACTCCAATTAAGTCTCGCCCTTACAATTAGTAAAACATATTTAGAAATTATGTCATGCCTGAACAAATACCCTGCAAAACACACACAAATATCATGCAAACACTGCATGTAAAAATCACATGGAATTATTATTTTGTATCTATGTATGCTAAAAAAAAATACATATATAAATTATTTTAATGATCTAACAATAATAATCTTTGATGATACCTCTGTTGGTTGATGAAGCAATGGGTTCTTTCTCCCTAATCCAGTCTTCCTCATCTTCAACATCCCGGAGGAACTGCTGGAGTGTCAGAGCCTCAGTCAACTTTTGCTTGCGTTGTTGAATGGGAGCCTGTACATTTAAAAAAAAATTAACTGTTAAGAGAATGATTTCCTGAACTGACAGAATATTTAATTGTTTACTAACGAGTAAAAATAGTTTCACATCTTCTTTTTCAGATCCCACTTTGTTGCGGCCCTCTGCCATGTTTCAAATCAACGACTTACAGCCAGCTTTTGGTAACGCTCCACAACCTCAACTTGTTTAGCTCTGATGTTCTCTTTGTCAAAGTGGTCTCCATTCTGGAAGAGTGTTGCTTGGGACTGGAGTTGGTCCAAACGGTCCTGCATTGATATAAATTATCCATATTTATATCTAATCATTGAGAATGAGTGAAATAAAAATTCCAACACAGTATAAAATACTACTCTTTAATATTCAATAGACTGAAGTGAGATCTTAAGTGTGCAGAAAGAAACAAAGTTCAAACATTTAAAATACCATATTTATTCCTAGTCTAATAAATAAAGTATTGTTACATCATCATTCTGTACATTAATTCATGAATAAATAGTTGAAATAAGGAAATTTTATGCTACAGCCATATCAATAATATTTTCATAAAACAACAATAATGTTTACTTGATGAGACACAACATCAGCTTCTAAGAGAGCATGGCGCTTCTGAAGATTCTGTACATTGGTCAAATCCTAAAAAGAAAACAGATAAAATATGTTTATTAGATGGTCATTGAAGATATGTGAACATGTTACTTGGTTTACTCAGCAACTGTCGGTGTTCTATCTGGTATAGTAAGAACTCAGGTACTAATTAAACATGTGACTGAACAAATAGTGATTTTATTTAGAGCTGTACTTCTTTTGAGAGCTGGAATAATTTAAGCTTTAAATCATTAAGTTCCAGTTCAGTTGGCTTTTTATTACCTCTTACAGGGTATTTCTGATTATTGTAAATAGTCTGAGCTATGACGACTAGTTCATGCCGACTCAAGCAAAAACAGCTGGACACAAAATAAAATCCTCTGGCAACTCATTCTCTACAAGTGCTAACAAATGGAAGTATAAGGTAACAACAAACCCACCAAAAATAAAAACTTGTTTGCACCATGCCATCAATAGGTTGCTGGATGGTCTTAAGCTTTACAAAAATAGTCACCCTAATACATCACAGTTTACAGTGTTATATTAATTTCCAATTAAATTTAAATGATTTGGTAGGATGTTAAGCTTGTACATTTAGCTGTTGATATTTTATTCAACATTAGGGAGCAAACAGAAGTCACCTTTTGGCTACTTTTAATGGTAGCTGGTAAAAGCACATTTTCTCATGGTATGAGCGCAAGTTAACATAGAATTAGTTGTGCATTTATTTAGTGATGTTCCAGAAACGGATGTTGAAGATTTACTTTTATTGGAGTGTGCATTAATGGTAACTTTTTATAAGCCTACATAAATATTTTCCAATACTGGATTAAAAGACAAAATTTCAGATTTTACCCTGTGTTACAATGTTTGTTTCAAGTATTACTAAATCCTGCTGAAAAATCTGACTGATAAATGAATTAGTTCCTTATATAGAAAAATACAAGTTCTTCTGCTCTGTTAATAAGCCATATGGCATGAGACCCACAATGTGGTTTTACAACTGAATGATTCATAGCCTTACTTTAACTGTAAGCCCCCATGTGCCCCTGGGTGAGATGGAGAAAAAAAAGAATTAAAGCCAACTGCTTATGTCCAATAAAGAAACAAAGATCAGAAAAGAGGGTGGGGGGATCACAAATGATTAAAATTCTAGTTTGAACAGACAGGAATAGGATATTGTTGTAGTACAACATAGGACAGAACAGATTGCTTTGTATAAAATATTTTAACATGCCATTAACAGTTGGGCCAATAGTGCTCAACAGGAAAGTAAGTTGAATTTAAATGAAAAATGTACAATGTGTCACACCTATGTGATTGCTGCACATTGTGAGATGAAAGAAATTAAAAGTGCTGTTTACTTTCTGATGTAAGGACAATTACAAGTGGAGGGTATACATGCACACTACAGAATCCTAATAAATGGAACACATCTTAAATAATGACTAATCTTATATGTCGCAACCATGGAAAGTGAGGATGTGACATCTAAGCAGCTGAGAAGAATCCCACTTGGATCAATCGCAGACTTACAATAATCCAGTTTCAATACTGGTATCTTGTAACACAACCAGTTTACAAGCCAAGTATGGCATATCTGAGTTTACTTAATCAATTAGACCACAATATCCCCACAAACAAATTTGATCATGTTCCACTGTGTGTAATATATAAGACAAGTTTCTAACTCTAGAACCCCCCCTCCTCCCCCCCCCCCATTTTATTTTTTTTACCAGAAGGGAAAAACAGGCTCACTTTGGATGCTAACCAAAAAATAGCATGCGCTGAAAGATGATTTACAGGACCATCTTGGTCCAAAACATAGTTCAATGCAAAATGTTTTTTTTTTTTAACATATAAAAGTTGAGGCTACTGGTATTAGCATAGTAGGTCTACTCTCACAATACTAACTTGCAGAAATCCAAAACAAATTTGTTTAAAAATATTCCTAACACCAATCCTATTTCCTCATATAATCTTTATTTAAATATATTCCTAACACTAATCCTATTTCCTCATATAATCTTTGTTTAAATAATAAATCTAACTCTCTTGATGTTCTAAACACTATGACAAAATTCAGACATCTGTATCTTTAGTACAAAAACGTTAAAAAAAATTATGGGTTCATATTTTAAAAAATATAAAGAAAGAATAAAAATGTAAGGTGCAACAATAGAAAGATTAAATCAATACAGGCAGTTACTGCCAAATATGGTTCTTACAGATGTCTGATAGATGCAGGAGATGAAAGTAGGTCAAATTAGGTGGGCTTTTCTCAGAGCATTACAGTTTTTAGCTTTCTTTTTAAAAGGATTATTTTTCAAATTTTTCATTACTCAATAATAAAATAATAATTTAAATGTTTTAGGATATCTTCTTTTCAACAGTCCATGTATATATAAATAGGGTTTGTGTTTTTTTCAAATTTAAGTGATCAATGTCTGAGCTATGAGACACTCTTGCCCATGACAGCTGGACTAATGTGGTTTGAAGCTTGGGATTAAAAAAAACTTACACTTCGCTGGAGAAGCTAGCACATTACAGGTAGGAGGGATGGGTAGAGAAGGAAAAAAAATAAAGATAGAAGGTAAGAGAAAAAAAAAGAGAAAATTAAATAAAAATCACATTGATGGAAGTTAATATATATTTAAAGTTCTGGTAAATGGGTTAAAAAGACATTTATTTGGCCACTAACTGAACTCGCCTTTAATTTTACTTAAGGCCCATTTAGGAACAATACAAATGGAAAGTAATTTGGATAAAAAGTAAGATTTATTTTTTTTTAGTCATCTTACCCTAATGGAATTTGGAAGTTTATTATCCAGCTCATAATTATTGTAAATATGGAGAGCATTAGAGCAGAGTTGAGCTACAATAATAAAACGGCCTCTGCCATAAATGTGATCTTCTGTAAATACATACATACTTTAAAAAACAAAATACTTTTACTTCCACCATGAGCCGATTTCCTTATTTACTATTAAAAAAAAATTATGGTTTGAAAAAGTAAACAGTGGCATGATTTCGTTTCCAGCTCTAAGGCCATGAATTTGAATCACAATTTTCAAAACTAGAAATACCTTTCCATAATCCTCAGAGATGAGAGAGCTTTCAATGTCAGCTAGCCAGGATTCAACATCTTCAACATTACGGTTAAACTGTTGCTGGTGAGCTGCCTCATTCAGTTTATTGCCTTTAACAGATGAACAACAAGATTATTTAACAGAAGAACAAGTTAACTGTAACAGAAGGAAAAAAAAGAAAAAGATTATACAAATTTAGGTTCACTTCTTCCGTCGCACTGTCTTATTGCATTAGATTTTCATGTGACCAGTGTCAGAATCAGGTGTTTCTCCCTTATCATTTTTCAGTGTTCATATTTCTTAGAATATTTAAATGTGTAAAAAATTGTATGGATCACTTCATTTTGGCCGAACGTCCCCAACTCATTCTATAAAACACTCTTAATGAACACAAATGAAACGCACCTTTCTTTTCTGTCTGAGACTGGAGTGTTGTCCAGAGACGTTCTATCTCATCAACGCGCTCCCTGAAGAAACACATTTTGTAACAACAGTAAATGGAATTATCAAAATTTGTTGTCAGGGATGAGCATATTTCCATTATATCAACTACCATTAAATGTATTATTTATTTGTTTCATTATCATTTCGTCCAATCTACTTCATGAGAGCTTCCGAAAGCCAGGAATGATAAAACTCACTTGATGGGTCCCTTGGCATAGTGGTCATTTTCAATCAGCTGCTGTCCTATGGTCCTGATACTTTCAATACGGTTTTTATTGGCATCAATCTCAGCCTCAAAGTTCTGATGCTTCTGCAGCTTTGTCTGAAGGTTAGTGGGATCCTAGCAGGGAAGAGGTATAAACTATTTAAAAATTTTGTGGAAGAATTACCTTAGATTCAAAGGCACACAGAATGAACAGCTCAGATGGCTTTTATGTGTAACTGGACTTGAGGAAAAACTTACCAAGTAGTTCTCATCTGAGGCTGTCTTGAGTTTTTCATTAATCCACCCTTTGGTTTCATCACAGTCCCTCTCAAAGATTTGGAATTCATAGGACTGTTCAAGCATATGTCGACGCCAGCTGGATTTCTCATACAAAGCATTACGTCTGGCCAGAAGCTGTTTTAAACAAAAATAATTGAATAAAATATTCTTATTACATTCGGTACGCATCTTTCAAGAAATTACTTAGTACTGTTAACTTTAACAATACCGGCAGTCTTCATTGCAATCTACTCAATCAAACAAATACCATTTCTTTTTCTCTGCGATGTCCCAGTATGGTACACATTATTTTATACCTAGTTATTTCCTTCGGAACACAATTTGTGAAGAATTTCTGCCTAGTTGCAATAATGTCTGCTTAAAGAGTTATTTTGCTTGTTTTTTTTATAAAGTTATGCATGCAGACCATTGATAATCTATCCTTCAGGACTCTGAAGCAAGCAAATTTGAAGAAGATTTTAAATCAATAACACTGGTTTCAGAGTTGATATGTGTAATTGGATGGTAGATGATTCTAATTTTATATATTTTTGTTTTTAAGATGCCTACCTGGTCTCGCCGGGCAGCCACATCTTCTGAAGCGTAGTGTTCACTGTCAATGAGTTTGGTCGCAAACTCGTCAAGAGCCTGATAAAAATAAGCCATGGAAAAATCAATGAAAACGAAGACAATATTGAACAGCCGATCCAAGTACAATTAATTTAAGAAACTTCTTGGAAATACTTTCATTAAAGCTTGTTGGTACTTTTCTCTCTTAAAAAAATTATAAATAACTTTCCATTTTACCTGTAATAAATTTCTTTAAAATGTAAGTTTACATTATAGAAAATCAGAAGAAGAAGTTGAATTAATTTGTTACTTTTTTTAAATTAAGGATTAAAAAAATTATTTTTTTAGCAATGAGAAAATGAAAAGCCGTTACAGAAATTCATGTCTATGTTCCTTACTTTGATTTTCTCTTCTTGTGCTGCTAAAGATTTCTCAAAGTCTCCATGCTTCTTGAGCAGAGCCTCAACACTATCTAGAGAGTCTCCAAGGTCGTCGTTGACCAAGAAAGCTTCCTGCTTCGTCATCCACGTGTCCGCCTGCTCAGTGTCCCTCAAGAAGAGTTGCAGATCCATGCACTGCTCATACAAGACTCTTCTCTCTTCCCAGAGCTCTAGCAGCGAGTGCTTCTCATGACTCAGGATGCTCAGCTAATCAACAGATCAATAACGTTTTCTATAACCCTTTCTAAAGATTGCTTATATCTATTTTCAAATAACAGAAACACATTACATTCAGTATCTTACAACACACATTTCCTTCAAAAGCTTGTTCTTTATATTGTGTTTAAAAAGTTGAAAAAGTATTCAGGTTGTTGAATTATTTGCAGGTAAGGTTTTTTTTTATAACTTACCTTCTCACGAACTTCCTCTGAGGCAAAATGATTGGACTCCACAAGTCTTGTTCCAGCTTTGCTTGTGGACTGGAAACTGTCTTCACGGGCATCAATTTCACCCTGAAATAAAACAAAAAGTTGGAGCAGAATTAGAAAATTAGTACCAAAAAAAACCAGCAATTATTATATTAAATATTTTAATTAGTAATTATAAAGCAAATAATCTTACAGAATACACTGGAAATCCTAGAACTACATTATTGATTAATTGCTATAGAACAGTATTTAACTGAACAAAACTATTCCAGCACACCTTATGCTCATTATGTCTGTCAAGCAAAGCTTCAGCCCCAGCTACATCTTTGGCCAGCTCATCTGCTGAGATAATGGCCTTCATGTCGGAGATCCAAGATACCAGGTCACGGAAATCAGCCAAAAACCTCTGCAGGTAGTAGGCATCATCCAGCCTCGTCTTACGTTCTGTGGCCTAATAGGGAACAAAATGTATACAAGTTAAAATGGGCTTTCTGCTATGATGAAGTGCATGTTAGGGAAAAAAAAAAAATTAAATAAGACAAGCATCATGTCTGGCTTTGCCTTGTATTACAATTTATTTACACACTTAATTTTGCCAGTGTCAGAAAAATGGGCTCACCTTTGTTTTCAGTTTTTTCCAATTTTCTCCAATTTCCCTCTGCTTGGATTTGATCTGGTCAGATTGATCAGTGTGAATTTCCTTCAGGCGGTCAGCCTCTGTGGTTAAGGCCACAACCTAAGCAATAGAATATTTACACCATTAACGTTTCAGTTATTGCTAACATTCTAAAGGCTGTAAAAATATGGAAGTGTTGCAGATTCCTAAACTACCAGGGTTGACTAGAGTTGTATATATTTCATTGATACCACTAAGTTTCTTGTAAAAATACCTTTTCTTCAAGAGCAGCAAGGTCCCTCTCAACACCTTCATGTTTTCTCTGTAAAGTTTGGACACTGGCCAGATCACGACCATAGTCATCTGTAGACAACACAGCATCTTTCTCCTGGATCCAAGAAATAGTTTCATCAGCATCTCTGTGGAAAAAAATACCAACAACTGAATAAAAAGATGTTTTCTTTAAAATAAACTCTAATTTAAATATTTATAAGGCAACTGAACCGGTGGTACACTTAAAATGAGCAGGTCACATGAATACTACATAAATCACAATAAATTTTATTTTAGAGCATGTTAAAAAAAAAAAAAGAGTAAATTTTGATTTTGATTTTTGTTGTGGTTGAAGGTTAAAATTTTCAAATATAATTTACAATAGCTGTATTTATGTGTGTATACACTATACAGTCATTTAAAAATTTGAAATAAATAAGGGTATTACAATGTTCTTTTAATGCATTAAAATTGTCTTAAAGTGTGACTTTAAAACTGATGCACACCTACCTGTTGAATCTTTGAATCTCATGAGCTCCAAATAGTCGTTCTTGCCTCAGCAACGACAACTGCCTCAGTCTTTGCCAAGCCTCATTTACTTCCTGCAAACATAACATATGATTGAGTCTTCAACTTGATATATATATAAGAAGTTTCACTTATTTTATTGAACATATTCTGACTTGTTTGGAGACAATTTTTAATTATTTTATTTTTATACAGATAACTATTTATACAAAAAGCATGTGATTCAATTAAAAAACTGAGCATCAAAGCCGCTCACACATGAGAAGGACATACCTGTTGCTTCTGTCTGATAGTTTCCTCCTCAGGGTGGCCATCAACCACAAGTTGCTCAGCCAGACTGTTAACTTCAGCAACCTTGTCCTCATGGTTTTGAAGGTCCTAAAATGCAAAATAGTTCAAATTTATTAATCATGGTTTAATTCATGTATCAGTGGTAACATTATTCCTCACATTGAAGCCATTATTAATCACATTAAAATTATTTCAATCTTCAGGTATTAATAATAATAATAAGTGGTCTTATATAGTCCCCATCAAAAACTTTTACATTTATCTAACTTATGTCCAAAATTCTTAGACACTTAAGAAAACTTTATATACACTGGATGAAAATAGGCATCATCATGTTCATTAAATATTAATGACTCTGGATACAGATATTAAACTAGTAGCTTGTACACAAGCACTTCAAGTAATATTTATACCTTCTGGAATTCATCAAACTTTTTCTGCAGGACTTCAACATGTTCCAGATCAGATCCAAACTCATCAGATGTGACAAAGGCATCCTGACAGATAATTTAAAAAAAAAAAAAAAAAAAAAAAAAAAATTAGTTAAATCTTAAATTTGAAAAAAATTTCAAGTAATATTTATACCTTCTGGAATTCATCAAACTTTTTCTGCAGGACTTCAACATTTTCCAGATCAGAACCAAACTCATCAGATGTGACAAAGGCATCCTGAAAGATAATTTAAAAAAAAAAAAAAGAAAAAAAAAAAGATTTGTTAAATCTTGAATTTGTAAACAATCTTTTAGCTATTTCTCAGTGTAAGTGAATGAAATTACGCACACTTTCTTATCCAAACCACAATTTTAGATGATGAAAACAAATCTTATGACATGGTGACGGCAACTATCTTGTACCTTGTCATTGATCCAGAACATAACCTCACGACATTCTCTCATGAACTGAACCAACTTGAGGGCCTGCTGTAGTTTGGTGCCCTTGTCTGCAAGTCTGGCAAGGAGAAGTGCCCAAAGGCGGTGGAGCTCATCCAAGCGTTCCTAGAATGCAATGGTTTGGATTAACAAATGGTGTGTGAATTAACAACTTTATTCATTTGAAAATTTATTACAAAAGCCGAGAAGGGACCCAAGCAAGAGAGTCTGGAGCCATGGGGATGGCTTAGGAAAAGATTGAGAGCAAGGACAGACATGGGTAAATGGATGGTGGCCCTGACGGCTAGGCCCCAATAGTGGCATTACAGAATGATGATTTATAAATTTGGTCTCAATTTATAAAAGTTGCAACACCCTTTGAACAATGATTAACAGAAGTTATGTTGTACAGCCCTACAATATTATAGTGTTATAATAATTAAATTATGATACAAGTCAAGTACTGTCTGTATTCTAAATTTAAACTACCTCGATTCCAAGGAACAAATGTCAACAGCATACTCGGAGCCATAAAACTAATGCAGAATGCTAGCTTACTTGACCTCTTAGCATTCACAACAACTGGTAAATTGCAGGAAATTTCATTTCAAGCAAATGTCAACTTTAACAATTTTATTTTTTAATGGCACAACCCTATGATTAGTTTTTGAGAATAACACTACAACATATTCCAACAGCAACTGTAAACTTTAACTAGAAAAAAAACAACCTACCCTGATTATCTCTGAAGCGAAATGTCCCTGAATGATCATTTCATTACCGATTTCATCCAAAACCTGGATGGCGTTTGCATGGGCTGAAACTTCAGCTTCAAAAGCCTGGTGTTTCTGAATCTTGGCCTGGAACATGTAAGAATACAGAACTCAGTTTCATTACTGGAATGATTAACAATTCAAAATATCAATACAGCAGAGATCGAAGTTTAACATGCTAAGTTTCTCAGTGATAATTATTGATATTACCTGCAAATTGGTTGGGTCTCTGTAGCTTTCATCTGAAGCAGTTTGTAGTTTCTCATTGATCCAAGACTCCAGCTCATCTGCATCTCTCTTGAAATACTGATATCTTCTCGAGTCCTCAAGATTGTTTTTGCGATCACGACAGGCAGCTTTAAAAGCCGCATAGCGACCCAAGACTTCATCTCTCCTGGCTTGAATGTCCTCGGCTGTCTCAAGGACTTTAATCTCCCGAGCCGCAGTGTCGGCCGGTGCAGTCATGGTGCTATTTATTCTTATTCACGGAGACTGAAAAGAGAAAGCATAGACAAGTAGAGACCAACAGCATTATCTATAGATTATGGCTTGCTTATTCCAAATACTTTTATTCAACAGAGGTTTCATGGTCACCATTGCCAATTTCTGTACTGAACATTTAAATTAGATATTTTAAAAATACTTTTGTGCACTTCAGAAATTATATTGTCAGATTGTCTGAAGAGTCAAGTTTGATGACCTATTACTATGCAGAAAATTATTGACCCAGTAAAGATCCAGGTAAAAAAGTTAGAGCCAGGAGGACTGCACCAATTAGCTAATGGGTTGAAAACAGAGTACCAATTTATAGGCTGCGGATGATACAAATGTTCTTTTATTATGCTTTGAAAATGTGTTTTGTATTTAATAGGTCTTAACATTTTTTATATTTTCCAAAATCAAAATTATAATGCTTTTATTTGGGTTATAGGGGGTATGCAGAAATATTTATTATTATAAACAGGAGAAGAACTAAACTCCTAGACCTTTGACCTATGCACCTAGCACAGGACATAAACCTCTTCAGACCCATATAGGGTAGAGCATTGAATTGAACTTTGAAGGCACCCCAGTACTGGGCTGAAGTTCACCTTTAATGAGCGTTTTGAAAACACCCAAGAACAATATCTAAATGGTTCATGGTTCACTGCTAGGTACATATAAAATCAGTGCATGAAGCACAAAGTGTTTTAAATGCACACAAAAAATAACCCATTAAAGTAAACCTAGTGGACAATCTAAGACTGTGATAAGCAGGAGAACCCCTGTAACATTATTTGTGCAGAATTAGACATAGCATATCAACATAATGACTAGGAAATAAATCAAAAACAGAAAAGTCTTAAACGTCATATCAAGCTATAAATAATATCAAAGATGATGCTTAAAACCACTTGGATTTTCCGCTACAATGAGGGTAGCATTGGCCCCATATACAAAAGCTGCATTTTCCCATATACAACAGCTACCTTATAGTTTTTATAAAAGGCAGATACCATTTAAATGTCAACTGACTTAAAAGGTCACTCATATCCCAATCTATATATGCCACTGTGGCCAGAACACCTACGCTCCCACACTATTGTCTAAATGAAAAAAAGTAGTGATAGTTATTTTAAACCCATGGTTCTATGCTAGAGGGAAATATCTTAATACATTCTTGTATTGTAAATGTGTTGCATTTATCTTGAACTATCGACAAGTGTTTTTTTACTATATCAATATATATAAAATATCAACATTGGTAAACATCTTTTAAAATTTATATAATATTATAAATCACACAAATCGCAAGAGATTGACATTTTTACCAAAAAATCAAAACAAAAATAAAAATAATAAGTACCTCGATTATGAAACTCTGCCAGAATATGAAGGATAGCACAGAATAGTGCGTAGAGTAACACATAAGAAAGGCATAAAGCTAATAAGGTAATCAAGAAAAGGTCAGGGTGATCTTCAAGAAATGGACACTTAAACATAGGAAGATTTCAACTCAAAATCTAAAAAACAGAAGAAAAAATCAAGAAGATAGTCAAATGTCATGCACAAATCTTGCCTTTTGAGATGTGATTTGTTTTTGTAGATGAACCCAACAGGTGACCTTTACACATTTAAGCTCTATCACAGAGTATAAAAATAAAAATTAGCTGAACTGTTGTTAAATTGGGCAAGATAGCTGAAAAATACTGCACATTTTATTCCAGATAATCCAACGAAGAAAGCAATTTACCCTCAGGGAAAATTTAAGGATCATTTAAATCATCTACATTTAATCACACGGTTACTCTGCTTAATGACAACCAGATATCAGCCAGTTGTTTACTTAGGACCATCTGCTTTTAAATAGAAATTCAAATTTAAAGAAGAGCTGCCTGAGCAACCAATACATTTTGATATTGATTTGAAATCCCCCCTGACATCGCCATAGGCTATAATAAGCAACAATTGTGAGCATGGCTGGAAAGCCTGGCGGGTGATGTGTGAGCTTAAGCTGAGTCACACTCATCGGATCAATAATTTCCACAGGGAGGAGAAAACATGATTCAGAACAGATCATATTCATTCTTTCTAATATTCATATTAAACATGGGTTTCACTGAAATCCTTTCAGCTTGTACAGAAAGACAATTTCTGTTAATCACATTTTTTAACATTTCAAACCAAACTTTAAATTATTAAATAACACGCTATTTCCCCCAAAATTTATCTCTACAATGTCATAAACTCATAAAATCAACCAGCTGCTGACACAGCAGAGCAAAAATCTATTTCCATTAAGTCTGTAATGGAGAATTCTGGCATCAAAAGAAACTAGCAATACACACCACTTCAAACAACATTGCGGAGCAGATTTATTAACACCGAACACAACAGAGCACAAAATTGGTCAACAGAGGTCAACAGTATTCTGTTGTTAAAAATTTAAACAAAGATTTAAAACAGAGCAGCACAAAGATTAGCCAGTGTAAACATTTAGGATGTATGATTGGGTTCCTGCGCCCACACAAGTCTGCATGTTGATGCTGGGATACAGTTTGTAGCACACAGTGGCAGACGGGAATTATTGATTTAGCATCACCATGACAACACTCTCTTAAAAGACAAGATACTTGGGTAGTTTTCAGCTTAAATATGGTCAAACTACTTGCTACCATGGCATTCAATTAAGTTCATTTATCAATATGAAAAATATATTAAATTATCTAACTTGTTGTTTCCTTTTCTTTTTTATTAACTAAGGTTTAAAATTTTAAGCAAACGAGGAAAATGTCTCCGGAGGCAAATTTGCGCCTATGACTCAACATTCAAAGTCAACATAAGATCACTTTGAAATTAATGAGTGAGATCTTGCTGGATATATTTATATCAACTGTTGCTTTAGACTAGTGCTTTCTAAAACTGTGTGTGTAGCCTACAGGATGTACCGGTAAGTGTGTTGTGCCTAACATCTGTTTTTAGATTTTTATAAAAATTAGCTGGAAATTAAATAAAATAAAAAAGGTGCCAGACTCCTTGCTTGACTTTTGGAGACCCCTGCAACCTCTCAATTTGTGTTATTAAGCTATTCAATGCAATTTAAAATAGCTTTTAACATTTTTTAACCACATCCCAATTTTAGCCCTTTAAAATCTGAGGCCCCCTGCAGTCACAGGGAACGCAGGGATCACAAGACGGCTCCGAGTGATGAATAAATAGGGTCAAGATTTAAAAATCTGATACTACCGGTACACACAGAGATCCTTGGATCTGATGAGGTCAGCTCCTTTTGTATACGAATTGAGGGAGATCATGATTAATTTGTTTAAAGAGAATTAAGGAAAATTAATTTTGTGATCTAATTCAAAAGAAACTACGGGCACACAATTGACATCTGAATCTTGTTGATATTTTTGAATAAAATAAACACCATCATGAAATGAAAAGGAGAAAATAAGTGATTTATCATATTTGTGAAATGGGATGCGAAGACGAGAAAGGGATTTGGAAATTGTAAGAAAATGAAGAAAAGTTTGAAAAGTATAAAAAAAAAAAACAGCTGGCTCATTGTGGACCAATTGACTTGCTCAAATTACACTTAAGGCTGGGACTGTATGTATGTCATAAAATGGGTTAGTAAACTGGTAAAACCGACTTAAAATATCCACAAAAAGCAATATGTCTAAAAAGTGTCTCATCAACATGAAAAGTTCGGATAGCACGATTTAAGGCCCAAATTTTAAAAATAACTGCATTATAAAAGATGGTTATTTATTAAAATACTGAGAAAACTTTAAAAGAGTTTTAGTTTATCTTCCAGATTGTTGAAAATTCGTTCCATTAGCCTAAAAAGACATTCCTGAATCATGTCACACATTAAGAAATTGAAGAAAAACATATCTTTTTTTATCCAGATGTAAAAAAAAAATTTGCCGAATACATTAGTCATTCTTAAAATCTATGCAAACCAAGGTTGTTTTTTTAGGGTTCCCATACTCCTAACTCTTTCCAACTATACATTTATAGTACAAGAAGGCTAACAAATTATGAACTATACAGATAAATTCCCATAGGCTAATAGAAACTAGCGAGTATCAGGCAAAGCCATTCAACGAAATAAAGTGTTTGTGTTTTAATTAGGTGTTTTGAAGTACTTTTTATATACGGTACCAGTGCACAATATTTTTTTGTTTTTACCATATGGTGCGTATGGTACTCTAGTAAAGTAGAAGGTTTTTTGAAGCGTGAGCACGCCACACATCACTGTCCATGTGAGAAGTATGGATTTTCAAAATTGATCCACCCATGCAATAGCTATGTTTGAAATTATATATATGTAGCTTATTTAGTATAGATATAAACAAATTTAGGGCCCCGGACCGAAGTGGAATATTGTAAAATGGATGTACTAATTCAGCAACCTACTTATTATGTCACATACAAACTGAAATGTCGCAGTTTGTATTTGATTCAATTCCACCCACCCATGCAATAGCTCTATTTCCACCAATGCATAAGTTCTTTTTGAAATTATATTTATATATCACATATAAGAAAAAATGAAGTAAGGGCCGCCAGCCCGAAACCAATGTTTTAAAACGTTTGTACTGATTTAGAAACCTTTGCTGGCGGGCACATATCAATTACCAAAGTTTTATCGCAATCGGATGAATGGTATAGGAAAGCATTTGTAAATTATATTTATATAGCTAATATAAGGGGGAAAACGAATTTAGGGACCCCGGCCACAAACAGAATATTGTAGAATGGTTGTATTACTTCAGACACCTACATATTATGTCACACATAAAATTTAATTTTACAGTTTGTATTTGATTAAAATTCTATCCACCCATGCATCTGTTTGAAATTATATTTATATAGCTTATATATGAAAAAAAACATGAATTTAGGGCCCCTGGCTCAAAATGGAATATTTTAAAAGGGTTGTAAAAATTCAGAAACCTTTGCGGGTGTGCGCACAACAACTCAACAAAGTTTTATCGGAATCATATAGATGGTACAGGAGCGCATGAGGAAATTATTTTTACATAGCTCATGAGGAAAAAAAACCACAAAGAATTAAGAGATTGCACAAAACGAAACACATGTAATGTCTTTAAAAAATGCACAGGCTCGTGGACAACAACTCACCAAAATTTTATCACAATCGCATGAATGGCATAGGAGTGCATACAGTTTGAAATTATATTTATATAGCTCATATAAGAAAAAACTAACATAGGCCCCCTGGCTTAAAACGGAATATTTTAAAATTGTTGTAATAATTCAAAAACCTTTGCGGGCGTGCGAAAAACATCTAACCAAAGTTTTATCGCATTTAGATAAATGGTATAGCAGACCTGTTTACCCTCAAACTCTTAAAATTGTACATCATCACAAAACCGTTCAATACATAGCTTAATAGTAAAAAATAAACATGCGGTATATATAATGTATAAACCCCAAAATCGTACATTGTACGCCAAAATCAAAAGAGTTAACTGGTCTGGTATAGGAGCGCATACGGAAATTATTTTGTTACAAAGCTCATATAAGAAATAAATTGAATTTAGGGCCAACCGCCCAAAACTGAATATTTTAAAAGGGTTCTAATGTCTTAGAAAATTGCGAAGGCTCGTGGAGAACCACACACCAAAGTTTTATCACAATCGCATGAATGGTAGAGGAGCGCATACGGTTTGAAATTATATTTATACAGCACATATAAGAAAAAACGAACAGCCTCTGGATTAAAACGGAATATCTTAAAATGGTTGTAATAATTAAAAAACCTTTGCGGCATGCGCACAACATTTCACCAAAGTTTTATTGCATTTGGATAAATGGTATTTGAGCGCATACGGACATTATGTTTTACAAAACTCATATAAGAAAAAAAAAACGCATTTAGGCCAACGGCCCAAAATGGAATATTTTAAAAGGGTTGTAATGACTCAGAAAAGAAAAATGTGCGGGCTTGTGGACAACAACTCACCAGTTTTATTGCAATTGCATGAATGGTGTAGGAGTGCATACGGCATGCATGCACACAGGCATACATTTATATATAAATATAAATAATATATTATGTGACTAATAATGCATAACTTCCTGATGATCTCAGAAACAGCCAGACACTGAAGTCTTTCAGAACCGAACTGAAAAAACATCTATTTCGCAAACACCTGCTGGGGTGATGTCTACCATCTTTTCCAGCTGCTATCATCTCCTAGATCTATATTGGCCTGTGTTGTTAATGTTTGCAAGGGATGAAAGACTTGGAATGGGTGGGTATTCTCTTATGTAGTTTTTGTAATGTTGCGTTTTATATTTCATTGTGGTATAATATAGATATTTTTTATTTCTCTTTTAATATCATAGACTTTGTACCGCGCATTGAGCCTTTGGGGATGAAGCGTGATTTTCAAATAAATTTAATTATTATTATAACAACCAAAAAGAAGTTTTTTGTGCCTTTAAATATAAATAGATTAGATAAATAAAATCAATTTTTTATTTAGTTCACTTTTATTTGGTTCATTTAAATAATCTCAAACCAGCTTATGAATAATAATTACTATCAACTTCAACTAGGCCTAGAAAATAGCCCTATTCTATTACTATTTCATTTAGTAGTAGGCCTATTTAGGCACTTTACAATTAGGTGACTGAGTGAGTGACAGGCACTTGTACAGCTGTCTACTCAGTGAATAGACAAAAAATTAAATCACTATAAAAAAGGCACCACCTAACATTGGCCTGAGCTTAAGAAGAAACTTTATTGGATCCTTCAGATATATGGCATGACCAGCAGCCGACCTACAGTCACACCCTTGCCCGTCATGGTCTCAGTTTTTGAATTTTAGATGCTGCCTTACTGCATATTATAGACATTTTTTTAGATTTCTAAATTAATTTTTATGTTTATAGGCCTATGTGATTTTTGTTGTTGGGGGGGGGGGGGGTTGTGTGTGTCCAAAATAATAATAATCATGGCCTGCTAGTTATTACCTTTTGATGACAATGGCATGTAATCTACAAAAGGTCGAATATAGGTGTAAAATTGATTGTGCGTGAGCATAATAAATTACACCCTCCTAGGAATTCTAATACACACTGGGATCAACCCACCCTTGTGTCACTTCATTTTCATAATAAACAATAACCTTTTTGGTTTGCCTAACTTTAAGTAACTGGAATATTTTGATTGTAGGCTACCATATTTTTATTACTGGGTCTATAATCTACAGCCTAGAATATGTCTATACTTGCATTGTTTTTGAGAAATCCACAAAATTTAGGATTAGTTTTAAGTAGGTTTTAAGTAGATTTGTAGTAGATTTATTAGGTAATTCAATGCTTCACTGCGCATTATTCAGGGCATTTTGAGAAATGACAGTTTGTTGCGACAGTGACATTCTTTTGGCATAGGATTTTCTGTGACCTAAGTTACTTTCCCTTTAAATCTGTAACGGTTTGTAAATAGATGGATTTCATCATCAATGATGTAGAGTAGATTTTCTTCCAAGCATGCTAAAGTAAATATATAAACGAGCCTATTCGTTTAACGCTTACAGTGACACAGCAAACATGATGTCAATTTTTAATCGTCAACTATCTTTTTAAAATGAGAAATATGCATCCATTTTGACCTTATTCCGCTATCCACACCTTGAAGGAGTGCAATGGTGATGTCAAGTCATGGATGACTTTCAGCAAGTTGAAGCTGAACGATGACAAAACCGAAGCACTCCTCATTCACAATCATGAATCATCCTCTAACTCAGCTCTCCCATCTCGTTTCAAGTAGGTAGCTCAGATATAGAGTTCACATCCTCCACTAGGAATCTTGGTTACATTCTTTCTGACAACATGTCTTTCAATAATCATATTTCTCACATCTGTCCCTCTGTGTACATAGCTATCCGTCAAAATTCAGGATAACTGAGCCAGAATTGGAGTGTTAATATACGTAAATATATTCTGGTAAGGCCTCTAAAATCAAATCAAATAAAATCCTGCCCCCCCCCCCCCTTGCCAAAAAGCGTCTAGATAACTAATGAGCGAGATAAACGAAAACCATTTAATATACGTAAATATATTTTGGTAAGGCCTCTAAAAACCAATCAAATAAAAACCTGCCCCCCCCCCCCCCTTGCCAAAAAGCGTCTAGATAACTAATGAGCGAGATAAACGAAAACCAATATGGCGGCAATATATTAACATGTGCTTAAAATTACTTTATGTACATGTTGTGCATTAATAAATGAGAATGTACATGTTTTTGGAGGTTTTTTTAATACACAACAGCGTTGCCGTGATTTGTTTGATGAGGCGATCGGCATGCTATAAAATGTACACACATTTTTGCTAACAACAAAAGCATGTGTGCACCAACTAACAGTAGAGATTTACCAGTATTCTTTCAATACAAACATTAGTGGATTCTCAATATAAACCTTTATTGTATTCTTCAACATTGCAAACACAAAGATCGTTCACAAAATCACAAGAAACGTGCGGAGTGTAGTTCATTTTTACAAAAAGCTAAACAGTGTCAAAATTAAATTCGCGAGTTATTTCACTCTGACACAGCGCTGAAAAGTATCCTACACACAATTACTATGGTTTCTTTACAAAGTCGAAAATGCTTCGTTGCTTTTAATAGTCTGCTTGAAAACAAATGCTTCAATAGTATTTATGCTGTCTAAAACAGTTTCATCTCCTACAAAAGAACCATACCGTCGAATTTTCTGTAGCATTTCTACCACCTCACCAGCTGAGGGTATTGGTTCCAAATCTTCGTCCGCATTTTCTTCATCTTCTTTGTCATTGTCGCATGTAGATGTGCTTGCCTGTGCCGACTGCACACTTGATACAATGTCTTCATCGGTGATCAAGCCATTGGTAATGACGTCTTTGTCGATGTCTATGTAATCTCGGAATTCCTGGACAGTGATGGCTAACTCCTGTGCCCCCTCTTCCAAGATAGTATCTGTAAGGCTTGATTTTTCCACCACTTCCGCGAGCTCTTCTGCAGCTGCACGGCAGTGTGCCTGAAACTCATCATCGGAAATATCCTGATTGAAGCAGTGCATCCAGCAATTTGCGATTGTTTCCTTCTTCACGTCATTCCAGGCTGATCTCAGGAAGTTCATTGCATCTAGAAGGGAAGGTGTGTACACTGCCTTCTTTTCATCATGGAGCAGGTATTGGCGCATCAACATTTTCCTGTAGTATACCTTAAACACTTGGATTATCCCCTGGTCCATTGGTTGGAGTTTACTCGTTGTGTTAGGTGGGAGGTAAAAGATCTTCATGGCCTTGAGACCAGGAACATCCGGATGAGCGCTACAGTTTTCGACGATCAGTGCCACCTTCCTTTCCTCTGCTTGGAACTTCCTGTCCCACTTTTTCACCCATGCACTGAAAAGATCTCCTGTGATCCAGGCACTTGGCTGGCTATCGTAATCACATGGGAGAACTTTTGCCTGTTTGAAGCATCTGGGATTCTTGGACTTTCCTATAACGTAGAGCGGGAGTTTTTGGCTTCCATCCATGTTAGCAGCAACTAGCACTGTAAGTCGGTCCTCCGAGTTTTTACTACCGTGACAAGCCTCCCCACGAAACGCCATAGTCTTGTCTGGAAGGCAATTCCAAAACACCCCAGTTTCATCAGCATTAAAAATGTTCCGAGTCTCATAGGTATCCAAAATTGTGCGCAGCCATGAATCCACTTGTTCCTGTTGAACTGCAGCGCTCTCTCCACAAATTGCTTTGAAGACAATGTTGTGCCTCTTTTTGAAACGATCCAGCCACCCCTGACTTGCTTTAAAGTCAGGGTGTCCTAGTTTTGCAGCAAGGATTTCCGCCTTCTCCATCAGCAAGGGACCATTTACGGGAAGGTTTGTTGCTCGCGTATTTGTGAACCATTGAAACACTGCATCGTCGACATCTTTGTGCGCAGCCACTCTAAGTTTTCTTCTTCCTGGATCAAAGACAGACTTCTCGTACATTTGCTTTATCACGTCTGCCTTCATTTTCCATCCTGAAATGGTGTTAGCTGGAATGCTATGCTGACGACTAAGGTCTGCCAGTTTTGTTCCTTTTTCTAGCTGCAGTATGATTTCATACTTTTTCTCTATTGACTGATTGTCCAGTTTTCTCTTAACACCTCCAGACATTTTTTAAAGGGAAAAAACTAAACAGAATAGCTACATCGTGTTATCCCTCAGACAAAATCATAAAGAGTGAGTGAACTATGTTATGTAGACGTCTTTTTTATGCCGTGAAACCTGTGCATGAACTCTGGGTGACCCCAAGTTTGGTGACGATGGGTGTGGTTTAATTACAAATTGTCTCCCTTGACCTTGACCACAAGTAAATACAGTCTATAGTCTTTCGAATTGGGATTCTTTAGATCTTACGAGACAGAGGGAGCGGGCTGAGCTAGATAGAGATAATTTCACTCCTGTATTTTGAGGAAGAAAAAAATATTGGGGTTGTCTATTACTAACGTCAACAATTTTTACTCTATTTTTACCCCCCCCCCCTCCACCTCCTCATCAACAACTGTCAAACTTTCAATTACTCCCCTATTTAATGATGTCAACATTTTATACCCCCCCCCCAATGAATTATAATATAAGTACATTAATAAATACATTTTACTTTGTGCTAATGTAATTTAATGACACAAAATTGTAGGAAAAACATTTTATTACATCTTTAGNTTCCCCCCCCCCCCCCAAATTTTAGGTTTTTTTTAAAATGGCACTGGCCGGGGGGCCCCCAATAAAAAAAAAAAAAGCCCCCAAATTTTTGTTTTTCCCCCCCCCCCCCCCAATCTCTCTCTGAAAAAACCCTGATGGGCATAGTCTAAAGTAGCTGATTTATCATTTTCATTTTGCAGTACTGATATACCAGACAAGTCAACATCATCCTCATCTAACCATTCAGCACTTAAAATAGTAGCATTGTCAGTGTGAGCAATTATTGCCATAAGCTCTCTGTCTCCTGGCAGCTACTCACATTGGTTGAATCCTTTTTTGTTGAAGAGCAGGTGCTAATTTCTTATGCTCCAGAGGGCATTGTCGGTGCTGTTGAACATGCTTTTACAACATGACTTGTGATGCAAAATAGATTTTACAGATTTTGCAAATCCGTTCAAGCAGTGATATTATTGTTACTCACTTTTCTTTCCCCTAATTCTAAAAATATCGTATTCCAACTCTATCAATATCATTTTTCTTGATTGCACATGACACTTGAACCTTGTCATTATTCCAAACCTGCAACATGATCGCAAACAAAACGCCCTAGCCATTTGCAACAAACAGAATCTACAGGTGAAGAGAGGCCAACTTTTATATTCTCTTGCACTAACAAAGTGTGCTAACATTCTGACCAGCCATCTGCAGTGCACAGATAGACACACATTAAATAAATCTTATACTGTTACAAGCCTACAAATTTTATGACTATTTAAACTCATTACATTTTTTAAAATAATTGTAATAACCAGTTAACTTTTAAGATTGAAATTTCAATAGAGAAAACATGATTGTTGACATCAACTAATCTAAACCCAATTCCCCCTCCCCCTTGTCAACAACTGTCAAACATTTCTGACCCCCCTCCCCCTATTTCGTTGACACAATTAATGGACGCCCCCATTTTTAATTATGCAAAACTTGTTTATTTGTTGTTTGCCGTTTCTTCTTGCCGAGTTCAAAAGCCGGCAGTTGGCAAATTTGGCCCCCTAACTTTTGTGCTCAAGATATTAGGGTTCGGCAACATAAAAGTAACGACACAACCAGTGAGAAATGCTAAGACAAAGAGAGAATTTGGCGGTTCCACTTCAAAAATGTTGACTTAAAAGGGTTGGTGAGTTAATAGAGGTTGAGACAAGTGGGTTCTACTGTATTATTCAGTACCGAGTACTGGTACTTATTAGCTGCTAGGGTAGGGTGACCAAATCATGAAGTGGAAAAACTGGACACACCCAAGGAGGGTGGGGGGGTTTACCCTCCAGCTAAAGAGGGGTACGGGGAGGGGGGGGGGCCTCCGCCGGAAACTCTTTATTAAAATATGCTCATTTTAACTATTTTGAGATCTAGAAACCTTTTAAAATTTACCTTCACTTTTGTAATTTAATTTAAACTCTGAGATATATCATAAACGAAAACAATAATTTTGCAGTGAATATGTCACTGTTTTTTACGCAGCGTCGGCAGTGTGGTGGAGTAGGAACAGTGAAGCCATCACCCCACATACTGACTACTGGCACTGGCTACACAGACAGCCAAAATATAATTTGAAGTTATATTATAAATTAGGAAGTTTTAGCGATTTGAAAATGTCATTTAGGCGTCCCGAGAAACTTTTTCGGGACACCGGGTACGATCGTGAAAAAACGGGACAATCCCGTTTTTACGGGACGTTTGGTCACCCTCTAACTCTAGTCCATGCTAGGGCGAAGTGCCTGACTTGACTTAAAAGACTAAAAAAGAAATAAAAGAAGGCTGATAATGTAAGTTGTATAATTCTACAGTCTACTGAGCACTATAGAAGTCTATTTAAATACCAGGAATGATTACATACCCTAATTACTTCTTGTAATTTGAAAATTAAAATTGAAGGATGACTCATCCCATACAAAATATGAATGACTGGATGCGAAACCCGACCACTTCATTGCACAGCTTGCTTCCGGGGTTGGGAAACCGGTTGCATTCTTGAAATTCTTGTATATTGACACTATCAGAGCTAATAAAAGTCAAATATTAACGTTTAGAGTAAATAATAATTGTAAATACTTTAAAAATGCTACTTACATCAGCTTATATCAACGAAAACGTATTGTTATTTACGAAATAAGAAGAACTCTCAATTCGAGATATGACCTCCTAGCTCGGAGCAATGGTGGAATGAATGTGAAGGTCATCTATCCAAGCTGTTCCGTTAGTCGTCTCAACATAGTATTTAGATGAGTCAAAATTAAAATATAAATATATCACAAAATAAGAAAAGTTGTGCAATATTAATATTTTTAATTATTCTCATTAAATTTATGAGTTGATGTTTACATATAAAAGGGAAGATGATAAAAAAAATAACTAATTTTGAGCCAAATTATTTTATTTTCTAAAAATAACTTTTGACCCAAATTCAAATGCATACTATTATTTAGTCCTTTCCTAATAGTGTCACTATACTTAAAACCATTCTATCTCCTATGCATGTATGAAATACATTTTCACAGTGCTAATATGTAGTATCTCAAATGAATTTCATAGTTAATTATTCTCTAATAAATAAAATTAAGAAGGCGTTTTACTTTTTAAAAAAGCCCTGTGATTGTCTGTGAAATGAAGGTCTGTCCATAACCGGCAGGCCAACAAGAATTCTAAGAATTCCTGAAATTACTCACAGAGGTGTGGCACAACTTGTCTTTTGGGTTCGCTCGCAAATTACGTCGAGCTCAGTAGGAGGGGATGGGAGGGGGGTCGAGAATGTGTGACACGGGGAGTGGGGGGCATAAATTTGTGACGTCACGTTTTAAAAAAAATTTTTTTTTATAAAACTAATTTTCTAATTTTTAATAATCTTTCTTGTATTAATTTTTTAACTTTAATATGAGGTCGAAATTGCCCAAGGTATTATAGGTACTATGAAACTCAGTCGCTCACACTTTTTGCGCATATCGAAAAATGACGCAAAATCTGTTGTGGCCATTTACAATCGGTTTGTGGATGACAGCGAGGTCTTAAGAACATAAGGAGCCCTGGGCATAGCAATGCAACGGGGGCCCCAGCAACACAACACACTAGGGTCGTTAGAGGAGGAGGCAAAGTGGGGCACTCGCCCCATGATCAAACATTGGGGAGGGGCGCAAACAGTTGTTTCTCCCAACCCAACTTTTAGTGAGTTGGGTTGGAAGCAACAACTTATTTATACAAAAACAAAATCATTCCAATTCAATCAAGGTTTAAAAGTATTAAAACATCAGAAATACATTATATTTCATCCCTGATGATGATAAATTATCAGGTTCTCCATTGTATTACTGAATCTTTCTGCCTCACGCCTCGTTTTTTCTTTTCCTTATCAGTGTCAGGTGATAGAGAGTCCAGACCATCTTGTATTTTTTTCGAAACGTTAACTGCATCAAAATGTGCCGACCATCTTGTGTCAGACAGGTGCTTTACGACAACGAGAGCTTTTTCTAAGGAAGATACCAGAACATTCCATCGATGTGTAGAAGCTGAGAAAAGGGTATACAGGCGCTGAAGAAAGTGAACGAATTTTCCAACTTGTAGACAACACACTGCTGTTTTTAAGCTCACTAATTTCAGACTGTGTCCAGCAAAAGGAACATACACGACACACTCGTTCAATTGACGCACCCGTTCTTGCAATCCAGTTTAGCATCCATAGACATATAAATTTAAAGCTTTGCCATACGATTGACCACGGCAAATTTAAGGTTGAATTTTGTTCTCATTCAGGAAATCCAAAACAGTGTCTGCTAGATCCTTTGATACAAAACATTGTCTGTTAGATCCTTTGTTCCATGGGAAAATATGGAAATTAACTGGATACAACGTTCCACAGACTTGCATCCTCGAATGTACCAGACCGTAAATTTCAGTTGATCAATGTGATCAATGTCTGAAGTGAAATCATAACTTATTGAATAATACTTTGACTCTGTAATTTGTTCCAGAATAGGACAAAGGACATGTTGTCCCATTAGATTAATAAATTATTCTCAAATATTTGATATTTGGCGACAGATATATGATGTGTTACCCTTTCCAGCATTTCCATTATAGTTTGAGATGCTCCACCAAAAAAAAAAAAAGGATTACATTCACTCAGGAGCTCTAAAATACCTCAACAATTTCCATTGCTTACTGACCCAATAGTTTGACCCAAACCTCTGGAGTCAAGAAAGTGAACGACATAAACCCCACGAGTCAGAACTTGATGCCAGTACTTCTGTTTTGACCTATGGTCTTTGATTAATTAAGGACCTAAACACCTAGCTTCTTTCAGTAGAAGCAAATATGCGGTCTTATCCTTGCAATGCTCTACTTCATTTTCATGTTCTACAATAATATTGTTATGTTTCCAATAATTGAATCCTGATATAGCAAAGGGAAATACTTTTTTTGGATAA